TTAGTACACCGATTTAACAGGTATCCCAATTTTTCTTATTTGTGTGGAACATAATCAGATTATTATTTTTCAGGCATCAGACAACATTCATTACTATTCACTCTATAATAGGGATGGGCAAAAGGCTGCCAGTGGGCCAGATGCAGCCCGCCAAGCCACTGGATCTGGCCCGTGGCTGCCTTGCTGGCACCCTTAAGCACAGTGCCACAGCAGCCTCTTTAAATGTGGCTGCTCTATTCTGGGAGCCCGCAGGGAGGGTTTGTATTTTGCCCCGCCCCCCAGCAAAATCTCTCCGCTCCCATTGGCCAGTTTCCGACCAATAGCAGCTAAGATATTTTGCTGGCGGCAGAGTCAGCCAATGAAACCTCCTCCCTCCCTTCCCCCCACTCCTTCACCCAGAGCGGAGCCACCTGGAGCAGCTTGAGACTGCAGCCTTCAAGTTCCCAGAGAGCTGTTGACTGGAAGCTGCCTAGGTAAGCACCTCCCAACCAGAGCCTGCCTCTGGCAGCCTTGCTCTCTTCCCTGCCCCCTCTCTCCCACAACTACTCCCAGAGAGCTGTTGACTGGAAGCTGCCTAGGTAAGCACCTCCCAACCAGAGCCTGCCTCTGGCAGCCTTGCTCTCTTCCCTGCTCCCTTTCTCCCCCAACTACCTGCTCCAGGCCACCACCTAAACTCTCTGTACCCCTTTCCGCAGGTTGCAACTCCCTCCCAGACCCTGCCCTCTCCCACACCCTTCCCCCAGGCCAGAATCCTCTCTGGTACCCATACCCCCCTCTCTGCCCTGCACCCCATTCCCCTACCCCAAGTTATCACCCAAACCCTCTGCACCCCCTTCACCCAGGGAAGAACCCCCTCCTAGAGCCCCTCCCTCAGCCCAGAATCCTCTCCTGCACCCATACTCCCTCCTGGATTCTGCACCCCAGATGTCTGCCCCAGATCACAACCCCATCCTTCACCCAAACTCCCTCTCAGACTCCACACCTCCTGCACCACAGTCTCCTACCCCAAGCTCCCTTCTGCACGCAACCTCTGTCCCAGACTCCAAGTCCCCTTAATAGAAATGCAGCCCTTGAGCACTTGCCAAAATCTCGGAGTTGCCCCCCATTAAAAATGATTGCCCACCCCTGCTCTAGAAGTTAATTACGGACATTTGCACTGAGAGTCAAATTCTGATTTATGTGATTCCTTTATTAGGGTTGCCAGGTGTCCGGTTTTCATCCAGACTGTCCATTATTCGGGTCCCCTGTCCAATAAAAAACCAAAAATACCGGACACGTGAAATGTCCAGTATTTCCTGTTTCCCTCAGACAGAAGCCCAGCAGGGACAATTTTCCCCTGCCGCATCTGGCTGGGGCAGGGGAGTGAGCCCCTCCCCTTATGTTTTCAACAGAATTTTTCCCCAGTGTGGCTTGTTTTTAGGGGTGGGGGTCGATATTTTTTGTTAAACCATGTGGCAACCCTAGCTAGTATAAATCTACAGTAAATACATATAAAGTTAATGATTTAACAGAGGTTTAATGAAAAGATGGATTTGGCCCAGGGTCTTCAGTATTCCACGAAGCCATACCATACACTAAATACAGAAGGTTATTAGTATAACGTACATTGCAGTAGCACCTAGACACTCCAATTGTGGGCCAGAACACCAGTGTGCGCAGAATACAAACTACACTAACAATTAGGGCAGTCCAAGCACAGGATTAGGTCTGTTCTACTGCTGGTGGAGATCTCTTTCGACCAACTCCAGAGTAACAGGTATAGTTTTCTTCTATTAATTCTAATTTTTTCATCTTTATCCTTATGAATGAGATTTGATTTTAAAATGTTATTATCTCACTAGTATCTTATTTGAAAAGAACTTTACAAGCATTAAGATCACATAAGTTATTTCAGAAATGTTAAATGTTCCAACAGAGATGAGCTTGAATTTAATAATCTTGCCAATTAAATGAATAATAAAAAAAACACACGGAATGTGTCATGCCTGCAAATGCTGTATCATGGAAATGTATGTTGCCGTTTAACAAGAGCATATCACAAGGAAAGGAAGGAGTTGTACCTACATTATGGCAAATCAGCTTTGATTAATAATATTCCTTGCTGGGTTCATGCTGCTCTAATCCAGGCCTCCCACTCAATCCAAGTATAAGGGACTATGTCATCCAAAGTGATGGAGACAGGAAGAATAAAATTTGCCCTCAGAGCAGGGTCACTACAATTGACTGAAACCATTACTGACTCTGGTCACTGATTCTTCAGTACCGACTTCACAGTGAAGAGCCTTATGATTTAATAAAAATGTTCAACTGTTGACACCACTTCACAAGTTACAAGGCAACATTTTTAACCTCTATCCTTTAGCATTACAGTAAAATTGCCTAGAAAAGCAGCAGAAGAATACACAAGATCCCTTGTTATACCCCATAGCTTTAAGAGTTAGAACCAAGAAATGTTGAAATATACATAAACCAATATAATATTGGATTATTCTTCAAAGGATAAGGATAAAAACATTTTAAAAAAATGTGAAAAAGGACAGCTTGGTGGAATCATGCTGTTGAGCCGAAACTGATATAAAGTCAGGAAAAGGCAAGCCTAGAATAAAGTCTAAGGAAATGCAGACACAGGAGGAATTCTGGTGGTATTAAAAGGCTGGATAAATATTTTTTTCAGGAACCAATCTAGGGAGAAAATCTACTCAATGGCCTAATGCAGGATGGTGCGTTAAAACTGGTAGGCGACAGCTGCCTGAATAATATTTGCTGAATGATTTAATATTTTTTAAATATACAACTAATTTTTTCCCTAAAATATTCATCCAGGAGATAGAGCGGGGCAAATAATTTGTGACTATCTGCTGTGTTTGTCATTATTCATCCTTTGGAGGCTCTAAGGGGCAAAAGAATAACAGCAAATGTTATTGAGAAAGTTATCTGTGGAAGTAGAAATTAATTAGACTTGAAAGTGCTTCTGAGGTGAAAGCATTGACAGGGAAGGAAGCCTAGCCAACTACAAATATTTGAAGGCAAGGATGAATAAATGGAGCAATGAGGTAAAATAGGGAAAGGGAAAAATTGGGCTAATAACTAAGAAAACTTAACCAGAAGAGCAATATAAATATGGAAAAAGATAGTAGAAATCCCACCTCTTAAGTCATTTGAGACTGACTCAGCAAAGTTCTGGAAACTACATTGTAGGCAACAATGCTGGCAGGGAGATAGACTACAGTACCACATGGCACAGAGCTATGGCTATTGGCAAGTAGGAAAAGATTTGTATATAGCAGTAGCTGGTATTTTCTTAGACAAAAACAGGATGCTTTTTCACAGAAACACATAATAAATGCTAATATATTTTAACTCACTCTGCAACATACCTCACTCTGCAGTACATGAGTTTTCATTTGTTGAAACAGTGCTTTTCAAACTGTGTCAAGCACTGGGTCTCATTGCTACAGGGTGATCAGGTGACCAGTGAGGATGGCATGGCAAGCTACTGTCCTGGCACCACAGACTGCACTGAGTACTAGCTCTGCACTCCCATTGGCTGGGAACCTACTGCTGGCTGCTTCTGGGGTACAGCATGGTCTGAGGTGCCAGGACAGGCAGGAAGCTGACTGGAGACAGCTGACCAGGTGCACCACTGCTTGAGCCCCTCCTGCCCCAGCCCTGACACCTCCAAAGCCAAGGCCCTTTCCTAGAGCCAAAGCTCTCATCCTCAGCCCCACTCTTGAACCCACACTCTAGTCAAATTATGTTGGGTCGTGGGCATCAACGATTTTCTTCAACGGGGTAATGCTGTGTTAAAGAACTTCAGGATGAGACACACTGCACGTGGATTTGAACTTCACAACTATACTTTTAGAGGCAGAGTTAAAATTTCCTTTCAACAACTATACTTTTAGAGGCAGAGTTAAATTTCCTTTCAGAGTGTTTCTATGCCTATCCCCATTACACAAAATATGCAAGTCAGACCCTTCACACCCAATAGTTTTGACTATGGATGTTCCCTAAATTTCATTCTGCATTAATACAAAGCACAAAAGACATCACTAGGGAAACCTCTGGCTGTAGCAAATGACTTAGAATATTATGTAGGGCTCATTTGCCCTGTGCTCCACAGTATCAATACAATGCAGCCATGGCCCTTGGTACTAAACATGAGCACTCGCAGCAACGAGCCACAAGAACATCAAACTTCTTAGAACAAAGGTAACCGACATGCCAGGAAAAAACTGCCGCACAATGTAAGGATTTCAGTTCATAATGTACCCACAACTCATTTCCTTTCCTAACGCTGTGAAAAGCATAGGAAACCCCAGAAAGCAACCATTCCCTCCAGCTCTGTAACTGAATTAAACTTATATACCTAGAGAGACCAGCAGATCTGTTCACTATTGTTAAACAGTCACAGTAGAAAAAGTAGCACTTAATCAGATTAGAAATACATACACTTTTTCTGGGCCTCTGGTTTGCTGTAATTGGACAAATTCATCTTGTTCGTTAACTGATTCAAGATCTAATTCTTTATTTTTAACTATGATCGCAAGCCTGATCCTGCAAACCCATTTCATTGGGTTCATATGCATATTAATAAGAGTAGCTAAACAGAGTGCTCAGGCCTGGTACCCTCATTATTCATCTCAGAGTTAATATCAATAATTGTGTTTAAATTAGCCAAAGTGAAATGATACCATCATTAAAACACTTACACATTGAATATAAGCAGCAATTTAGAAGGCCGGAATCCAAGTGCAATTTATTGCCAGGATTGCAAAACTGCTTTGGGATTCATTCTCTAGGCATGAGAACCTCATTTATTATGAAGCAAAACGTTAATTTTAAAAAGCCCAAAGATTCTTTTGATTTATAAACCTCACAGTATTAGCATTAGTTAATGAGGTTTCTGAGATAACAAAACAATTTTTCCCACTTTCGTCTTACACGCATGGAATAATTCACAGTTGTTTTGCACCTTGGGTTTTTGATCTTTCAAATACCTTGCATCCAGTGTGGGTCCGGGTCTTCATTAAGGGAGTTGTGGTGCACAGCTCAATGGCTTCTGGCTCATGGAAGATTACTGTAGGAAGAGGCTCTTTCCGAAGAGTTAGGACATTCAACTTGGTCTTCAACATGGTCTGAAAATGCTAAAATACAAAAAAAAAAAAAAAAAGCAATTCACTTGAATTCAGACAAAGGAGGACTGAAAATTAATATTTTTATTCACTTGAGCGTCGTTAACTGTCCATTCAGGGCACTGAAATCCTTATATGCAACGGGAGGATTCTTAAACATTAAAAATATATTGATATTAGAAACGAGTAAACACATGCAATTAAATAGAGTGGCCCCATAGCTTTTAGAACAGAGGCCAAAAATTCCTAATTTGAATGACTAATGTACTTCAAATATCCATATTTGTGCACCTAAATGAAAGCGACCTGATTTTCAGGGATGCTGGGTATGATGTCACACCCCATATTCTTAATATAATAGTGATATGAATGTATGTTTTATGCAATATAGGTCATGTGAGGTTATGATTTACTGAATGTGTTTATACAATTTGTATGCATGGATCATTTCTGTATCTGAAATTAGGAATAATGACTCTGTAACAATTACACCTTTGTATGTACTTGGGGGAACACCCACCAGAGACAAGAAGCCACCTTCTGGAATGCTGCTTTGATACTGCAAGGTCATGTCACCTAGTATGAAATACCACTTTGGATATTGCAGGTACTTTTCCACTGAAAGGGCAGGATAACCAAACAAGAAAAGCAAAGATTCCTGCCTTATGTAAATCCCATTTAAGGCTGGGATGTGAAACAATCAAGGTCCATTCTTCTCTTTCCTGGAAGCCCCAACCAAGATGACTGCTGTAAACACCTAAGAATGAGCCGGGGAAGAAAGGAACTGGACCCAGGCAGGAAAGGTGGCTGGCCTGTGAACAAGATACTTAAAACAATATTTATGTTGAGAAAATTACCACTTGTATCCAGTCTTTTAGGTCATTATGCTTAGTTTTTGCATGTTTGTTTTATTTGCTCAGTAATCTTCTTTGTTCTATTCTCTATCCCTTGTAATCATTTAACATTTTCCATTTATAGATAATACATTTGTTCTTTGTTCATTCCAAAACCCAGTTTATGCAATTTATATGGAGGGAACAGGAGGGTGAAGCTGTGCATATCTCCCTCTATATTGAGGGTGGGGGCAATTTTTATAGCCTGTGCTATACAGCTCTCTCTATACAGAGCAAGATAATAATATTTTTAATTTATACTCTAAAGGAGGTGTGCACGTGAGTGCCAGGTAAATCCGTGGCCTTATTTCCTTGTTTGCCAGAGAAGGTTTCAGGGCAATGTTCACTCTAATATTTCCATCCACGAGCAGAACAAATTTTGTTGTGTACCAAGGCAAATGCAGATGTGCACCACCAATAGAAACACATGCTACAGGCTCTGGGCGGCTGCGGGTTCTCTGCTAATCAGCTGAGCAGCACCTAAATCTTTCCAGGGTGGCCACTCAAGTGCTCAGCTTATAGTGAACACTGCTTCAGGACCTAGCATAGCAAGAACAGGGCAAGGAAGCTCAGGCTGGTGGAGTGGTATCCCAGCTTAAGCGACACCCCAGGTGGAAAGCCAACTCCTCACATTGGGCACCCACAGATCGCACTCAAATCAATCAAGATCATAGGCTGAATCTGTTTACAGACTGCCCTTCCTAGCAAAGTCATACCATGTCCAACAAGTCTCTGCTTAAGATAAAACAGGAAAATGAGAACATTCAAAAAAAGAAAGGATCAGACAAATGCCTTACCTCTGTGGCCCTATAATTCAACATTTCAAAGGAATTTTTTAGTATTTATTTTTATTTTCCATCTCGTTTGTGGCTCAATTCTCACTGGCAACACTCCCATTGTCAGGCCCTCTCCATTTGTCTTTGATTCCCTGGCTCATAAATTTTGGACCCCCTTCTGTTGTTGGCTTTGAACACAATATAGTGTACACTGAGGTAAATGGTAGTATTGGTCCACAAGAAGAGGTGGTACTTACCACAGTAAAACCTTTTAATTTTTTTAAATAAAGAAAGTCTGTTCTCAAGAGATTTCCAAACCAATTTTGCAGAGTCAGCTTTGAACTGATCCTGAACTCAGAAATGAATAGTGTTTGCTCCTCACTATTTACTCTCATAGAACACACAGTTAACAACATACAGAACGTATTTCTAAAAGCAGGCCCATGAATTACACACCTTTACTGACCTTACCATATTTATCTTTTTTTTTTTTTTTAAACTGAAACTGAACTTTAAAATCACCAATTTAGCAAAGAAGATTTATTAATTTGGTGTAACCACCACTGGGTAGATTTGAACCTGGTACTGGAGCTTACCGCGCATCGAGACTACTGCGCTGAGCCGACAAACAGCTGATTGGCTCAGCGCGGCAGCCATGTAAATTTAAATGAAGCGGCGATTATTTAAATCGCCGCTTCATTTTCCTATGCCGGGTAGTCTAATCTACATGCCTCTGTCGCCAGAGGCATGTAGTCTAGACGTACCCTATGTGTGGGAACCTCTACAGCTTGAAAGCCAGCTGCCTCTCAGCCTAGGCTGTACAGCTCCCTTGTTCTTATCTCTCACTGTTAAGTGGTTTCAGTGCCACTACATGGCATTTTCTATCACTGGATTTCAGCATGCTTTGCAAACCTCATTTAGCTTAGCCTTCCTAGGAAGAATATAGGTCTTATTGTCCCTGTTTTACAAAATAGGAAGCCAAGTGATCTTCCCAAAGTCACACAGAAAATCTGAGTCAGAACTGGGACTAGAATCCATGACTTCTGATTTTCAGTTATATGCTTTAAACTCAAGATCCTATTCACTATTTTACTTAATCATATTTGTTCTACATTGCCCTGTCTTGTCTATATGAAGAATTTATATGGAACCTTGACAATGATGGTTTGCCAATCAAAATGAATGGTAAGTCCTTTGCAATAATCTTTATAATTATAAATATAAAATGAATGGTAAGTCCTTTGCAATAATCTTTATAATTTACATAAATATATCATCAGGGAGCAAACTGAAGGACTTTAAAACAATACACTACTCTGAAACACTTTAATCCTTAGTTCCCCAATGTTTAGTATTAATGATTGTTATGATGAATATTGAATCCACAGCATCCTAAACACTTTCAAAAGTATACTGAAAAGGCAGAAATACTGATGGTCTGTGGAAATAATACTTGATTTCCTGCTGTACCTATGAAGTTATGGCTTGTCATCATACTATAGGGTATCTGTAAATGTTTCCATGCTGTTCATACAGCCATTTGGGTTTCCACTCTGATAAGAGATCGATGCATATTTTTAATTTGGCTTTCTCTCATAATATACGCTACCTTATTCACTCTCCTAAGCATAGCAATACATCTAAGGAAAAGAGCATTCTGTTTAAGATTATTGTTCATTAAAGAATATACTTTGACATATATGTATAGAGAACAGCAATCTTTGTGAATAGCTATTAACTCATTGGGAACATTCTTTTACATACCCTTATTTATTTACCCTTTTATTTCCTTTCCCATTCTGAATAAGAAGTTTATTGATTTGAATTCCACAGGGTCATTCCATAAGTTTTTAGTAAAGGCTTAGAAATACCTCATTTCCCTTGATTATCACAACATATCAAACTTTGAGATACTCAATTTGGAAACAGGAATGTAAGATCAGTTACGGAACACAACTTGCTATTTCCAGCTAAGGAATTGCTACGTCTACTAACCTGCACCACTGTGTCCCTTAAATTCTCACCGCAGTCTTTCCCTTGATAATATTATCTCTCCGGTTTTACTAATACCTCTATGATACCACCTCAGAAACAACATGGCCATTCTATCAAGCACACAAAAACTCCAGCACAGAGGAGCTCTGCACTTTCGTGTCTGTGGCTGTTTGGGTGGGGGAAGATGGGTGAAAGAATTTCCACCAGTAGTATCTTACTGGCAGACTGATTCTAGATGCAAACAGAATTCATGGCAGGAAACATTTCAAACTAAAAACAAAATATTAACTCAGTGCCTTGTCACTTCATCACGGTAGGCCAAAACTTCTGTTTCCACAGATAAGTACAGTGGGGAGAAAACAGAAGATGCAGGGAGAAATTCTTAAATGAGATAAAAAGAGAATCATTCCCATAGCCCTGTTTTATTTAAGTATTATTTCACTGGTACATTTAGATATAGCAAAACCACTCTAAACAGGAACATTTCCCACTTTCCTGGTGGATAAACTCCTCTAGACTTAAGTGAATATGAGATCAGACCTCAAATATGGGTCACCTTGCCTCTCGTCTTCACTGGGGTTACTTACAGGGTAAAAAATAAAAATATATTTTAAAAAAAGCACAGTTTGACCAAAAGTGAGAAAAAGCTGTGTTAATCCAAGCTATGATCTGTCTTTGGGTGTTCTCAGAGCACATCTAAACTCACACAAAAGAACCAGAGAGGTGCAAGAGGTGGGCTTTAGCCTGGTGATTAAGGCATTTCTCTGTGATGTAGGACCCCAAGGATCAATTTCCCACCCTTGTCTGATGCACCACAGGCCTTTCCCATCCCCAAGTGAGTGCCCTGAGCAATGGGATATCATGACTGGGTCTCTACTCTTGAAACTGTCCCACTATCTTTAAATAATTAAGTATGCACTGGACAAACAGATTGAGATAAGGCCTCTATAAACCTCAGAAGTGGGCAGCTCAGATTCAAATTCCTACTCCACATCAGGCAAAGGGGGTTGAAATTGTACCCAGGTCTCCCACATTCCATGTGAGTACACTGCTAAATATCATGAGGGAAGCTGCATCCTTCTCCCCCTTCTTCCCCCAGCAATTCTTCCAAAAACAGCGTCAGCACTTAACCAAAGCTGAGAATTGCAAGGAGTGATAGGCACCAACATCTTGCCCAAACTTGGGCACCCGACATCCGGAGAGGGAGGCAGTGCTTCAGTCACAGCCTTCCTAGTGAGTAACTCAGGTGTTTCAGTGTGCTGGCTTGTATGGATATTACTCTTTGGTACCTGAGTCTCCCCATTCATGGTCTTGGGAATTATGAACTTCATTGAGTGTCAAGGCACCC